AGTTCAAATTCCTCTCAGTCATTTGCCTTAAGCAGTGTCCATTTCTGAGTCAGCAGGTGGCAAGCTATTACAGAAATCAAAAGGTAAGCCACCACTCCAGATTGTAGATGTATTTATCTTCTCTATGAACATTTAAAAATTGGTTACTGAATACAAGTTTGCCCATGAAGAGATCATCCTCCAACACAAACCTCATCCTTGCTATGCTGATATTCTCTGACACTTTTAAATGCTTTGCAGAAACTCAGACTTTTTTAATCATCATGAAATATTAATTTATTTTTTATTACTACCAAAACTCCTTCTCACATGAGGCTAAAGAAGGGTGCTGTAGGAAATATATGCTGTTCATACTCATCCTTGACATTTTGTGTAATGTTGGTCTAGCTCTTTTCATGGACTCCCAATTAGTTGAATAATTAGGAAAAGGAAGAACTGTTTTTAAAATCATAACCACAGTAGGCACCTGGATTTACACAACTGCTGGCTCATGATCACTTCACAGATATGCTGCCATACTTTCTTGGCAAATGAGAACTGCTGGACTTTGTAAAACTTTATCTGCCCATGATGACTTTCAGAGCTTGCCTTTCCTTCAGTCTTCGGTGAATAGCCCATAGCTATCAATTAAATTTGTGAAACACATTTTATGCCACCTTCTTACTCTGCTTACTTACCTTCTTGTAACATTAAATGTCTGTAACCAGAAAAAACATAGAAGTATTGTATGAAATGTGATCTAGAATGTTGTGTTCCAGATCCAAAGTTTTAAAAGTATAACAAGTGAGCCATTATCACAGAATTCTGTTTTTGTCATTACTCTTTTATGTTAGTTCAATACAGATGAGTTCTGATCTCAACAATGAAAAATGGCTAATAAAAAACATTTAGTTGACATGGAACAAAACTGGGTTTTGGTAGGAAAAAAGCATATTCAGCATTAGGGGGCCATAAAACTAGCAAACACAAACACATCTTATGATCCCATTGACTCCAACAAGGTTAAAAATCCCATTGATCTGGCACAGGATTTCATTAATAAAAAAGCCAACCAACCAACCAGAACCACAAAACCCTCTCCTTGTTGATTTTAGGCCAAATCCGGACCATTTTACCTACAAGTAATATATTTTAACCCATAATTCAACTGTTCTGAAAAAGCTCAGTTGAGGAGAACATGGAGAAGAATGACTAATTTGATAGGGTTTAGAGTGTCTTAGTTAAGACAGTAGAAAAAACATGCAAATAGATGATAAAGCACCTACTGGCAATCTTACTGAAGTTCTAAGTAGATGAGAAGGATCTCTCTAGAGCTACTAGAATAGAAATAAATATGCCTTTAAAAATATAAAAGTGGGTTGGATTAATTAAATATACCAGTAAGGGTTCTGTTTCTAGAGCTAACCTACACTGGATTAAAAAGCATCTCCGAGTAAAAAGACATTACTGCCATGAAGCAAGTATCCTGCCCCCAAAAATAAAAACCAGTACCCCATTAGATCTGCCCCTGAGGACATTGAGAGCATCTGTCAAAGAAGTCATGTTTTTTTATTTTACAAGTCAGTTCATCAAAGGAATTTTTTTTTTTTCCTCATCTGGCTATATTGTACAGCATATATTAGATTTTGAGGTCAGATGTCAGGAAGCAGAGGTTCCATGTTATAGGAAAAATTCTGCAATTTTGGGTACTTAGTAACATTAATTTACACACATAAGACACAGCCGTGTGCATTTCCTTGTGCCTCCTTTGGCTCTTCACTGAACTTAGAAATACTACATTTTCAATTGGATTCTTTTCTCATTAAGATGAGAGACCTTAGACAGGAATTGATTACTTTGTGTTTTGAAATTTTGTATTTACTCCCTGGCTTTATGGTATTGAAAAATAGCTGCAAAGTTCCCATCTGGTGGACTGGCTTCAAATGAAAAAAAAAAAAAAAAAGCACATTCAATTAATCTACTTGTATTTTAGGTAGATTATTAGCACCTTTTTTTTGAAATCTTTGCTAAATATTGTTGTTTTATCAAAGCATTTTAAAAAATGCAATACCCACAATTCTGTCAATTCCCTGTGATGCAATTTCTTATCTATGGTCACCATAAACTATGAGGAAAAGGCACTTCGTTAGTTTTCTATGGATCAAATCCACTGTTCACCAAAGCTTACACAAATTATAATAATAGGGTGACCTAGGCAGAAAAAATCGAAAGTCTAGATAAATTAAACTGAATTGTTTTTTTCTCTGAACTACAGTCTCTGATGATCTTTTTTAAGGATTCTGAAGAGGCAAGCTTCCAACTGCTACCCTCTGCGCTACATGGTACTGTACGTGTTCTGGTAGGACTGCTCTGCCTCTCCCAGCACTGAAACACTGAAATGCCTCAAAATTGAGGCATTGAAAATATTCCTAGCCTGTGAAGTTACTTGCTATGTTCTTAAGTAATTGACCTAAAATATTGTTAGAAGGGTTCTACAGATTGGAAACGAATGTTCAGAAAAAGGGATACATAAATATTAGGTCACTACGTGGCAATAACTTGTCAAAAGAATAGTTACTTATGTATTTATGTGTGATCCTAGGTCTACAACATAGTAATCTGGATTATTTTAGCCTTCAGGGAAAAAAAATACATGTCAATGCATGTCACTGTTTCCCAGGCAAGTGTTCAGATTTTCAGGGCTGATTCCTCTGTATGTTAACATTAACATTAAAAAAAATTAAACCCAAAAATCAAACCCATTTTGTCACGCATACAATCTTGACCATGATCTCCTCTGAGAACTCTGTAACAGTGATCAATATAGCTAAAGAATGTACTCTTATCATCTTTACAGATAAAGTGTACTGACATTTTTTCACACATGCATTCTGTTAATTCCATAGTGACTCCAGGATCTCTCAAAATCAGAAAAAGATAAAAATGGTTTAAACAGAATTTAGATTTTTGTTTGCTCAGCAGCTGTGCTTGGTAGCTGTACAGGCAGCTAGTCTTCCAAAGTATTATGTCTTTTGATCTTTTTCCATAGCCGAGTTAATTTTTAAAATAACTTCAACATTTCAGGAATGATCCATGGGCTTGGACTACCTTTCTTTTCCATTTTATTTGGATAGTTTTATTATAGGGTTGGGGGTTTTTATATAGCTGTGCATACAGAAAGTGCCAGCTTGACTCCATATACAGGATCAAAGCCAATTTCTGTCATTCTATAACAGGAAGATGAAATTAAAAACAGCTTGCTCATCAGGATGCTTGAAACATCTTTATTTCACCTGTCTAATTTTTTTTAAACACTTCTTTAACTTTCCATGGATCCTGTGCTATCAACTTTTTTTTTTCCAAGGTCATGTCCATAGAATTACATTTGATGAAGTGAAAAAAAAGAAAGACAAACTATTAGGATAAAAAAGCCTAGAATTTTGGCATGCTTTTTTTCCTTAATATTTTTAGGGACTAAACACTAGCAGAAAAGAACAGGAACATTGTACTTTAATAGGAAACAAAAGGTATGTAGAGGTCTTCAATACTATTCAATATATATTGTCTTGCTGTTGGAGAATATGAAAATAAGATATGTCCCTAATCTTCACAAGTTGTACAGCATAATTATATTATGTTTTTTCTAAGGTTGCACAACTCCTTTAAGATATTGCAAGCTCCAGGAAGGCTTATATCAGCTACAATCACATTGCTTTATACCTGTAGGAGAGCATTTTTCTGTGCTGAGTGTGCTACAGAGAATTCTAGCTCTCCCAAGAAGGCACTATGAAATCCTTAATGTGAAAAAAAGGATACTTAAAGTATTATGAGAAACACCAAAATCATATAAACTCCAAAGAGTTTAATTTTAGCTTAATTTTATCTGGTCTTTAGGGATGACTGAATTGCAATTATATCCCCTAGCTCACCAAAACAGCTACCAAAAAAAAATAAAATGGCAGGGGTACATGAGAAAGTGAATAGAGAGAAAATTAAATGAAGGCCTAAATTCTGAAGTTGTCTTGCAACTGATTTTTTTCCTACTGTCTAGAAAGGCACCACCTTGGTGCCTGCTGGGACAAATCAGACCTTTTGCTTACTGAAAGCAACATCTAAGACTCACAGTATATGTGGGAGAAAATAAAAAAAAAAGATTAAAAATTACATCCAGTGGCAATGAGAACCAAAGTCAGAGCTCTTCTGCACAGAATACACCTGATCCTGCCCACCCTATAAGCCTTTTTCTTCTTATAGCTCTTCAGTGCCACCCATACCTTGCCACATTTCCATACCCAACTCTGAATGCAGTCATGGTCTTTCCTGCCGTTTCTTTGCATTAGTTACTTTTGTTTTGCTTTCGTCTGGCTTGTAACATGGTAGTATGCCAGCTTTCCTTTTAAGTGGTCTAGAACCTTTTATAATTTAATTACACTAATATAATACTTACTCATCTGCTTCCTTTCTACAACTAGGCTTCCTTGCATTTTTTCAATTCAATTTTCCTGATGGTGACAGATGTAGACAAATTATTGCAGTTGTTCTACACATTTCAAAATTATGGCCACTTTTTATGTGTCTTTATATAAATTTATGCAGCTGGATCCAGGTTTTAACACTTAGGATAGATGATGGCACTTGGTTCTCATCCAGGTGGATTTCAGCACTCTTTCCTGACTCAGCAAGATACATACTTGTCTCTTTACCCAAGCTGTCACCCAGAACAACCAGATCCATGTGAAGAGCAAATGTGACAAGGTTTCAGTTACAGTTTTTGCTGATCTACTCCAGGCCTTAGTTACCCAGCCACCATAGAAAGAAATCGGGCAAACCTCACTAGCGTATGTTTTGAAATGGATGGTGTCAACTGTAATTAAATAAGATAAATTAAACTTTCATTCTTCACAGTCCTTCATGTCATTCAGCAAGACAACAGCAGTTGTCCTTTTTACATTTATCAATTGATCTCTAGCCTTGAAAATCATAATCAACGAGTTTATAAACATACCACTTATAAACCCTACCGTAAGCCCACAGGCAATCGAGTCCCAATATTAAGTACGCTTAAGGGTGGCGAGGGAGAAGGAAACCACTTCAAGGAGTTGCACAGAGAAATAAACCGTTCGTCGCTCTTTTGGTAAATCTAGCAGGATAAAGCCCCGCGGGGAGATCCTACGGATATTGGCGTGGGCCGAGCCCCCCATTTTCGCTACGGGCGCCGGGGTGGGCTGGGCGGCAGTGGGGGCCGGGCGAGGGGCGGCGGGGCGGGGCGAGGGCGGGCGGGGCCGGGCGAGGGGCTCTCTCGTCCTGTTGCCAGGTGAAGCGCAACGTCTCGCCTCCTCGCGGTAGGCGCGCAGCCCCGCGCGAGCGCACGCAGGCGGCTCGGGTTGGTCGGCTAAGCTCGGTTCGGCTCGGCTCGGCCTGGCCCGGCTCCACACGGCTTCGCGGGGCGGCCAGCGCCCAGTCCCACCGCCCCCCACCATGGCGCAGAGTATCAAGAAGGAATCTTCTGCCCGAGCTTCGTGAGGAGGAACTGGCTGCTGCTGAGCACGGTGGCCGCCGTTGCTGGCGGGTGAGCGCGGGGGCCGCAGGGAGCGCGGCGCCGCCGCCCCCCGCCCGGCCTTGCCGGCACGACCCGCCTCGGCGGCCCGCAGCAGAGCGGAGCCTGCGGCGGGGGCGAGGGGCGGCCGCAGGGCCGGGCGGCGCGGGGCGATGCTAACGACGCACCCGAGCGGCGGGCGAGGCGGGCCGGCCGCCCTTCCCGGCACCGCCGCGGGGAGCGGCTTCCGCAAGCGTTGCGGTGCCGCCGCGCCGCCGGCGGGAGCGGCGCTGGGCGCGGGGGACGCGGCGCCCGTACCCGAGAGCGGCCGGGTCGGCAGCGGGGCCCGGGGCTCTCCTGGCCGGGCGGCTCCTGTCCCGCCGGCCCGTGTGGCAAAGGTCGGTGATCGGCGGCGTGAACCCGCGCCGTGGAGGACGGGCGCGGGGGCTGTGAGCCCTCGGTGCTGCGGGTCCCCAGGGCGGGCTATTCCCCGGGCGGCGTCCGCAGCCCCCGAGGGGACCGCGGCGCCTTCCTTCCGTGAGTCTGCGGGGACAGCCCCGCCGAGCGAGGCTGCACGGCCGGAGAGCATTGGTGGTGGCTTTGGAGAGCTTCTGGTGGCCCAAGCGAGCTTTGCAAGTGGAAGAGCTTGCGGTGCCACCCATCTTTCAGGGGAGTTTTGGGGGACTGAGGAGTTCGGCAGTGCCACCCATTTTTCAGAGGAGCTTTCAGGGTAAAAAGTTTCTCAATGCCACCCAGCTTTCAGAGGGATTTTCAGGGGCTCCATTGTAAAGATAGGAAGATTTCTCCCCTGCATGTCAACAAGTTTCTGAAGGGGAAATGAGTTGTACGCCATCCTACTAAGGATAGGTGGGCAGAGAGGGCAAAGAAAATGCATCAAAGGACTTGGACAAAGAGTCTTTTCCATAGGACATAATTTTGGCCCTAGTCACACACGTTTTATTCCTTTTTTTTTTCTGGTGATTATTTGGAGAGCTTCCTTCACATTATTGCTACTGCAGAGAAGTGCTGCTTTAAATACTTCATTAACTTGCTATCTGATGGTTCTCTTTCAGATGACTTTTCTGCAAATTTGCATTTTGGCTGGAACATACCTATTTCAGTGCAAAGTTGTTCAGGAGAGAATTATTATTTTGGAATTCTACCCAGCTATTTATAAGCTGTGATCAGAGCTATGCTTACGTATACACGTGCAATTTTTTTTATGTATTCAGTATTTGAAAGATATCCATTCTTTTTCACCTCTTTCGTAAGTGGAAAGGTTCTTGTGAGTTCTGTATACCAAGTGCTAAGGGCTTGCTTTGAAAATGTGACCATACAACTGGAGGAGTATCTATATGCTCCTGTGTTTGTGTGTGTACAATTACGTTTTCACATACTCCTGTCGGGTGCCCTTCTATGAGCTGACATACTTCCTTCCCAGTTACAGAAGTGGTTAAGAAAAATTCCCCTTGCATTATCTTCAGTGACTGTAGTTTGAACTGAAGTGTGTGATATGATTCTATAGGTGGATCATTCTGAAATTAAATTTCTCTGGGAGCCACAAAGTCTGGCAGTACGGGAACTCTGGGGACAATAATGACCCCAATCCCCCTAATACCCAATGGGAATTCACAGTGAGAAAGTGGCAAGCACACAGATGCCTCCTGTGTCCTTGGGCTTCTGGTACACTGTAATTAACAGTCCAGGACTCAGGGGAGCTCTCGAATATTGGCAAAGAGAGTCTTCTTAAGAATTCCAGGAGCTTTGAACCAAATTACATTTTACATGTAGCTAGCTATCTGCTGCATTTTCAGTAAGGTATGCAAGAACAGTGAAACCCTTGTAAAGATGGAGTTGAATCATGTGTTCTGGTTTTACTACAGCTTGAGGAAAGTTTGTAGTATACCTAGAGTCCACAAACCCTTCATAATTAAATTTGCAAATTCATTTTTATATACTCTGGGAAATTGTACTGAGGGTTATTAATCTAGTTAGGTTGGAGGAACACTCTACCATTTATGAGCAGAAGAGTAGCACATGATTTTGAAAGAAGTACATACCTTTAGGTTTTTCAGAAAAGTATGATGAATGAGGAAATAACAAATGCAGCAAGCTGTGAAAATATGCTATGTAAGCTGTCCAGCTGTGCTAGAAAGTATCTGATATTCCTACACTGTCATAAGGAATCATGATTTTTACTCATCATTATCAAGCCATGTTCAACATCCAATTGAAATATGCATATCTTTGCTAGTACTCTTACTAAGCTCAAAAGTTTTCCCAATTACTTGTGTGCATCTCTGACAAGAGACAGAAACAGGAGAAAAACCCTCCTTCAAGAGTAATGATTCTGTGTTATCTTTTAAGCTTTCAACTCTTTGCCTGTGGTTTACGTTCTCAAAAACATTGGAATTTCTTTTATAGCCGTGGGGAGGAGGGGATAATTTAAAATTTATACACAAGGCATCTTGAGTGTCACATTTTTTTTTGTGAAAACACCTGAATGCATTTTTCAAAGAAAACAAAACTCAAGGCTGAAGAGGTTATTTTCCTTACCTTAGCATTCTGTTTCAGACCACCAAACTGATGTGGAGAGATCTGTGACTATGAGAGTAGCAGCCTCACGCAGATACCTGCAAAAGGAGACATATCTTGCATCTTTTTGCTCTACTGGCCTTACTGAGCCCAAAGCAGCTGAGCTGACTAAAGCAGTTTAAAAGTCAACCTACCTCAAGTGCTTCTTCAGCCTTTCATATAGAAAGCTACATTGCTTCCAATTTCTACAATCAAGTCAAAATAAACGAGAAATATCCCTGAAATTTACTCACCCTGAAACCCATGTCCAAAGGGCAATTGGATACGGAGAGTTTAAGTCACACTTCACAGGATTCTCATGGAGCATCTATTTTTTGTCATTGCCTTGTCTCCAAGAGGTCACTGCTGCAATACAACCAAACCAGTCATGAAAGTAAAAGGCTGATTATGTATAAATACTTGCTCATTCATTAGTCTGTGTGTCATCGCCTAATAGCTTGTAATGCTGGGCAATTCTTCAGCAGAACAGCTTTTTTCTTACAGTGGAAACTAAAGGGTAGGTGATTTGCCTACCCTTTAGTAGGGTACATGCCTACATATGATCTGAGGCATTGAGTTGCAGTAGCACACTGTCCTAGAGCAGAGATCTTTTGATGTTCTCAGAAATACACAAAAAGGTTGCAGTTCCTTTTTAATACTTATTTTGAAAATTATTAGACCATTATCTTTTTTTTTTTTGTAGCAGTTCTGTGGTGGGGGAACACGATTCTGAGGTATTCAGTTTGCCTAAATTTACAGGTTACTTCCCCCCTCCTCCCCCTCCCCCAGTAGACTGTCTGAAGTGGGCTTTCTTCAACAGTACATGTGCACTGAAATTCTTCAAGTAGTCACGAGGAAGATGCGAGAAATGCAATATTTAGGTAGATACAGCCACCAGTCACAGGAGACTGTGAATTGCAGGCGTCCTTCCTTCAGCCTGGCATAGATCGTGTTCGTCGGAGGTATTTCAGTGCGAGGCAGTGATGACCACTTGTGTGCTCTGCCATTAGCTTCCTCCTCCATTCTGTTCTTCACTTATGGACGTGTTGCTCATGCTGTTCGCCTCAGAAAGGGCCCCTGGGTGCCATGGCCTGCAGGCGGGAGCCGGGCGGGGCGGCGCAGGGGCGGCGGGAGCTGTCCGAGGTGGCTCCGGGGCAGCCCGCGGACCGGGCAAACGGAGAACTGGCAAAACGCGGAGCTGCAGCAAGCGGGGGTGTGAGGCAGGAGTGAAGCGACTGAGAAAGGGTGGAGGTCAGGTGTTCAGGCTGGAGCATGCCTGAATACTAGACTTTTCCACTTCTGAAATGAAGTTTATCCAGTTTCTGCAGCATCAGACCCTTTGCTTATGTAGTTCCCATGTTGAAAGATTGAGGCTGGCATCAGACCTCCTTTTCTCCCCGCATTTGAGAGTGGGATTAAAATATGCATCGTTCCCCTTGTAACACCAGCATTGAAGAAACTCTGAGTATTGTGACTATAGTCACATTGTGACTATAGTATTTTGCCAGGATTTGATGAGTGCAGCAGCCATTGGATCTTCTGGTTTGTGCTTTATGATACCACTATAGCAGTTCATATGCCAAAAATTTATTCTCTTTAATGTTAATGAAAGTTATTATTTTATATTGTAATATTAAGTAGTAATATCTCCCTATAGGAATTTTTTTTTTTTTGTTCCCATGTAAGTCAGGTGTATTCACACCTGCTAAATGAAATGCTCCCTCTGTAATCAGACACAAGGAGATTTGACAGCTGCTTTTAAAATCGGTAGTTCCTCATTACCTGGAAGCCCATCAGTGCATTCTTACAAGAATGAATGTCTCACAGGGTGAAGACAACAACAGAACAATTAGTAACTTATCACTGTGTTGATGGCCTTTCACCATGCAAAAAGCCACTCTGAATCCAGGGAGCTCACCGTTCTCCTGAGTTTCTTTTGTAAATGTAGCCTGCAGCCCCTAAACCCCACAAACCTATAAAGTCTTTCTGTTTCTCATGGTGAGTTGCTTCTGTCTCTGGCAAACGTAATTTAAAAATCAAAAACCCATTCTGGATGTGAAGTAAGGTTTCACTGTTTTTCATTTCCACCTCCTTCTACCTTTACCAAGAAGTGGCCTGTTAGCTTAGTTTAGG